CACCGCCCAATTACCTCCCCAGTTGAGGTCAACAGGGTCCCATCCTTACTGTACACAGCTTGGACGGTTCCCCGCTTCCCCCTCCTGAGATGGCGGACAGTTCTCCAGAAACACTTTGGTGCCGACCGAAAGTCCTTCTCCATGTCTTCTCCGAATTTCTCCCACACCCGCTGCTTTCCATCTGCCACAGCTGAGGCTGCAGTCCTTCGGGCCCATCGGTACCTTGCAACCGCCTCCGGAATCCTCCGAGACAACAAATCCCGGAAGGCCTCCTTCTTCAGTCGGACGGCTTCCCTGACCACCGGTGTCCACCACGGTGTTCGAGGGTTACCGCCCCTTGAGGCACCTAAGACCTTGAGACCACAGCTTTCTGCTGCAGCTTCAGCAATAGAGGTTTTGAACATTGCCCACTCCTGTTCAATGTCCCCAACCTCCACAGGGATGCCAAAAAAGCTCCGCCGGAGGTTTGAGTTGAAGATCTCACGGACAGGGGCCTCCTCCAGACATTCCCAGTTCACCCGCACTACCCGTTTGGGCTTACCAGGTCTGTCCAGAGTCTTCCCCCACCCCCTGACCCAACTCACCACCAGATGGTGATCAGTTGACAGCTCTGCCTCTTCACCCGAGTGTCCGAAACATGCAGCCTCAAATCAGATGAAACGATTACAAAATCGATCATTGATCTTCGGCCTAGGGTGCTCTGGTACCATGTACACTTATGAGCATCCTTATGCTCGAACATGGTGTTCGATATAGACAATCCATGACTAGCACAGAAGTCTAACAACAAACACCCTCTCGGGTTCAGATCAGGGGGGCCGTTTCTCCCAATCACGCCTTTCCAGGTATCTCCATCATTGCCCACATGTGCGTTGAAGTCTCTCAGCAGAACTATGGAGTCCCCTACTGGAGCCCCATACAGAACTCCATTCAGGGTCTCCAAGAAGGCCGAATACTCTAAACTGCTATTTGGTGCATATGCACAAACAACAGTCAGAGTTTTCCCCCCCAGTACCCGAAGGCGTAGGGAGGCGACCCTCTCGTTCACCGGAGTAAACTCCAACGTAGTGGTGCTCAGCCGGGGACTTGTGAATATCCCCACACCCGCCTTGCGCCTCACACCTTGAGCAACTCCAGAGAAGAATAATGTCCATCACCTATCAAGGAGTACGGTTCCAGAACCGAGACTGTGCGTGGAGGTCAGCCCCACCAGATCTAATTGGTAGCGCTCCATCTCCCGCACAAGTTCCGGCTCCTTCGCCCACAGAGAGGTGACGTTCCACGTCCCCAGAGCCAGCCTCTGCCGCCTGGGTCTGGTCCATCGAGGTCCCTGACCTTCACTGCCACCCATGTGGCAGCGCACCCGACCCCTGCGGATCTTCCGATGGATGGTGGGTCCAAAGGATGGAGAGGGGTGCCACGTTGCTTCTTCGGGCTGAGCCCGGCCGGGCTCCGTGGCAAACCTGGCCACCAGGCGCTCGCCGACGAGCCCTCCCTCTGGGCCTGGCTCCAGACGGGGGCCCCGGGCTTCCTCCGGGCAGGGTCTCTCCTCCTCTTCCTCGATTTGTCATCAAGTGTCTTTGTGAACCATTCTCTATCTGGCCCCTCACCTGGAACCACTTTGCCTTGGGAGACCCTACCAGGAGCACTAGGCTCCCGACAACACAGCCTCCAGGTTCACCGGGGCACACAAACCTCTCCACCACGATAAGGTGATGGTTCCCGGAGAGGACCTTTTAAGTTGAATTACTGAAATAAATGAACTTTTGCACGATATGCTAATTTTTCGAGTTTCACCTGTACAGTTACAGTCGAGAGATAGTTAGCTTAGCTTAGCATAAAGACTTGTGGTAGGAGGAAACAGCTAGCCTGGCCCTGTCTAAAGGTAACAAAATCCACCAACCTTCACCTGTAAAGCACACAAATTGTAAAAAATGTAAATTGAAAAATGTAACAAAAGTGACTATTTCTCGGCCCGGCACAGTGACTTCACTGTAAGGCTAATTGGCATCGACAGGAGACATATAAGTATATTTTTTCCAAAATATCAATCTATTCCTTATGCATAAACATTTAGAGCAATCAAAGTGGAAATGCATATGCTTAAATAAGCATTGGATTAAAACCGCAACAGCAAAATGTGACGTATCATTTACGGCCATTATTATATCCTAGTGTGGTGTCATTGATGAAACGATTAGGTTGTAGCACTTAACTGACAAGGACATGTAAGGATAGTGTTTACATCAGCGTTATTGGCAGACATAAAATAATGACCCCAAGAGAGTGTGAATCAACACTGAAGGCACAAATGGAAATCTTATACTGTTTTATTTCTAGATCAATTAATCAGCCATTACAATTTTCTGTTTTCTCTCTCGATCCCTGCTATCTTTCTTGAACTTCATCGCAGGAATCAACAATAGAAAACAAAAATTGACAGACAAAAAAAGGCTGAGTGTGTGAGCATGGGTGAGAAATATATAAGTATAGTAGTATAGTTGGGGATGTCAGTTGGCAGATAAACAAGTGGGTCAACAGCACTAGACACTTTCAAAGGGCCACAGGTAGCAGCTACACGGTTACAGTGCAGATGTCTTTACTTGCAGTCATATTTGGCTTTTTGACACTGCTTACATTTCTCCATGGTATTTGGTTTCCCTTGCCGATTCTATTTTCTGCTGCTATACTTGGATGATCCTACAGAGGTGGGGTTTACAAGACCCCACAACCCCCAATCCCCTGCTGATGGGAAAGCCAAGGCTGAGGGTGAGGCCAGGCGAGAGAAAAAGAGAGAGACGGGATGGCGCTCAAGTGGGAGCGTTTAGCCACTTGGAAAGTTAGAGAAAAATGCTATGGTAGAAACTCAAGTGGCATGGCAGGCTAAATGGGTTTCTCTCTTTCTCAGTTCCTCCTGTGAATCTCGGAGGACTCTGTGGCAGCAGGCTGCTGAATATCTGAGTTACTCAGTCTATCACAGCTGAAATGTATCCCGATGTTTCAAATGGCTGGGGCACTTGAGTTGGATGGTTAGATAGAGAAATGTCAGGCTACACAGAGGAGAGATGAGAAGAGATTATGAAAGAATCAAAGAGGGGAGGGAAAGTGGAGAGGCACGTGTGTGGTCACTTGCTTAAATGCGCACAATCATGTACATTAATCATATCCTTCTCATATTGGCGAGTGGTAATTTTCACCTCCCCTATGTAACCATTATCCACTCTGATTTTCACCTGTTCTCCCATTCCTCTCCTCCTCCACATCGGTCTTTCTCTCCCTTCATTTATGTGGTGACACGCAGTGATAGACAATTTTGGCAAATGTGTAAATCATGTCCGGGAATATTACAGCATTGAATAAGGATGAATTTTGCAGAATTTCAAGAGAGTAAGATCCATATCTACTCATTTCATTTAAATGTAAAGTATCATAATGCCACAGCCCCAGCTGTAGGTAAAAGATCATAAAATGCTGCAGGATTGTTCAGCTATAATATGTGCATGTGTCATCTAAATGTGGTCACAGTTGCACACAGTGTCAACCAATTATGGAAAAACATAAAACATAGAAGATATAGGGAAGATTAGATAAAATGTCCTAAAATGATGGAAAAACAGAGTTACAAAAATCTATTTAGGCACAACTACTTGGTCGTCACCATGGTCAGGAGGCGGTTTTGACATTTCCTGAGACAAGACATTGAGGGCTGCATAGATGATGTGTACTGTTTGTCCTATATTTACTACAAGTAGTCTTGGTAACTCAGCTCTCCCTCTCTATAAATACAACCATGGAGGACAACAAAGACTAAAGCTGGACAGCAAATCTAGGTTATGCAACACAGTTTGTATAAAATATTGAACATATGAAAATAAGACTTAACAATACTGAAAGTGTTGTGGTGCTCCAGTTTTTCTCTCTTTGTGACTGCAGGGAGGTCAGTGTGAATGGTGTGTTTCTTTGTGTTTCTTTTGAGCTTGTGCATGTATGTGTTTGTGTAGGTGCAAATACGTAACTATGGTGAATACTGTCTGTGAAGATTCTCAGTCATCCAGGTCATAGTTATCCAACGAAGGTTAAAGTCAAGGGCAACTGGACTTGGTTGAAGATACTGGAAGACAGTATCAGTTCAGTTCAGAGCTGAAGAAGTCCCTTGGATGAGGGACGAAACGTCTTCCAGTATCTTCAACCAAGTCCAGTTGCCCTTGACTTTAACCTTCGTTGGATATGGTGAATACTACTAATAAAACTGTCCTTTCCCATATTTGTGCTCATGTGTATATATTGTATTTGTGGTCATTTGTGAGTCAAAGGATTTGACTTTAAGTGAGACTAGGTAACTTTTGCTGTACAGCGGCCACTGTACACAGTAGCAGAAGTAGGGAAGAGTCATAAAGTCAGGAAACTGACTCAGTAATGTCAGTTATGCAGCAACATTTTACTAAAATAAGCTAACATTAGCCACCATAAGCTTCTGGTCATATCAGACCAAGTTAAACTGTAGCAGCAAAACTCCTGGTTGTATTGAACTGAGCATGATTGTGTGAATTCAATTTTATGTTTAAGAGAAGAAAACAGTGCTATTTCTAATCTGAAAAGTTACACAGTCTCACTTTAAAACTCCTTGATAGCGTTGACAAAAAACACTCTTGATGATTAAAACTCTATTGATGCCAGAGGGATCCATTGATCTGTAGTCTTTGAAGTTCCCATTCATGTATTTTGCTCTAATGATACAACAGGAGCACATGTTACCGGAATGTATTACCATTCATTCTATCAGTGAATGCATGGCTTCTGGATGGGATTGTTTGATATATATAACAAATGAAATATTTCAGCCTTCTCTATCAAATTAAACTTTTCATATAACTGCATGAGCTTCCTTCTAAGCTTAACATGAGCTTCCTTCTAAGCTTTTATAATGAGTGCTTACTGTTCTATGGTACATATCTAATTTTCTATATTACCATACGTGTTTGTGTGTGCACATGACTCACTGATAAAATTTGTCTGGCCGGTGTAGATGGTGTACTGCAGCTCGTAGGAAGTGACGCTGAACTCGTCCTCGGACGTCCAGTGAACAGTGATGGTGTCATGAGAGGCGGTGCACAGCTCGTCTCTTATGGATGGCGGGTTTGGAGCTACATGTGGAGGGAAACGACAACATAAAACAACTAAAGTTATACATTGAGATTGACGTAAAGTACATCTTTAAATGAAAAAGAAACAACTGTCAAAGATCCCGGTCTCTAGTAGGCTATATAATGACATTATAAGGAAAACCTTGTACAGTATGTCTACATGAACAGTTAAGAAAAGTTATATTTTAGCTTACATGCATACATTGAATGTAAGGTAATCTAAAGGGTTTCATATGCCAAAGAGTCCGAGAATTTCATCGACCCAGAGAGGACTATTTTGTCTTGTAAAACGTTATATCACAAGGTTTCAACATATTTAAATGACAGCAGCAGCATCTACTGTAAATACTGTATGTGTTTATTGTAGACCAGAAAGACCCAGCTCTCACCTGTTAAGTAATCTAGTCCCTCTAGAATCTTCTTCTCTCTGGAAAAGTCCAGGGCAAAGTTGTCAAATGCCTCATTCAGGTTGACGTCAGGGATGAGGACCTGGGAGGAGGCCGTCGCCATGGCAACCCTTTTTGCAGCCGCCAGGACAAGGGAGTGAGGAAAGGAAATGCCAGGAGAAGGGCAGAGAGGTGAGGGAGCAGAGGAGGGCCAAGAGGTCAGACGAGGTGATGAGAGGAAAAGAGGGGAAGAGCAAGAAAAGATGAAAGGTGTTGAAGAGGTGGACAAATGTGAGGGGAGAAGTGAAGGAAGTGAGGTGACAAGAGGGGAGAGGTGGTAGACAGCGGTAGTTTGTGAGAAAAGAAAAAGACGAGAGAGAGGGAAAGAAAATATAGGAGAATAGAATATAAAAAAAAACTTTATAGAAATATTTACAGTCTGCAACGTGCCCCATTATAATCTATCACTAATTCACAGTATGTTAAACCAGAAAGCCATCAAAAGACAGACAAACCAGACACACACTGACACACTGACTCCATAGTCTGTACAGCTTTGTGGAAAATTGTGCCTACTTTTGCTTTGAGAAGCAATCTGTGGCAGGAGCCAGCCTGAACCACAGTGCTGGCGGGGTTACAGAGCAGGGCAGAGCGGAGCATAGACTGGCGCTAGTCCTTGAGACTTTTGTTCCTCAGTAAAGAGGAACTAGTCGGTCAATAAAGCGCCTGGCCAATTGCTGGAACAAAGCAGCATAAAAGAAGCTGTGCTAGCTGCAGATTTTGTACAGGCCTTTAGTCTGTGAGAGAGAAAGTGAGGATGCGGGTGGTGGCCTGAAGGGATGAAGATATTACAGAAGTATGCAGGTGAAAAGAGAAACTGCAGAGCCAGCTGCTGAAATGATAGATGATTTTCAACAGAGGCCTGACATTGATCACAGGAACTACAGCTGTTTTATATAATGTTGATTTCACCAGCAGCCTTACTCTAAGATTGGATTTCATAGAAGGAAAAGTGTTTAGACAGGCAAACTCATTGTAGGGCAGGGGTTTTGTGAAATTAATTAAAAGTGTTATTGTGTGTCCTGCAACAGGATTACACAACTGCATATACAAAGAAAAGAGATGAAATTTGTCCGTACCTAGTTAATTAAGTGAAATCTGTCTTTTCTGTGGCAGACAGGTTCAGAATACATGTCACACACACAAAGATGGAGGAGTGAATTAATACAGAAAGCCAAAGATGGCATGAGGAAGAGCTGGGCGCTTCTTTCCATTGATTATCTGTGAGTGCATTTGTTCATATGTGTCTCCTGTTTTGTCTGTTGTCTTTCTCAGTAGCCTGTTTTGCATATCTACAGCTCTCAGACAGTATTACTTCAAAACAACCACTAATGTAAACAAACTTTCCACTTCATCCCCTTTTCTACCTCACGGCAGAAAAAGTACGTATATCTATGCACTACATCACCCACCTTTCTGCTACATTTCGGGCTGTCTGGAGGAAGCGAGCGTGGTCGTTCTCCTTCAGGCTCTGTTCTGCCTGTGTGATGAGGGCACTGGAGCGCTCCAGACATTGGCGACAGTTCGCTATCTGCTGAGCCAGCTTACGCAGTTTCATCACCTGGAACACACACAAATACAGTACATGTTGCTCTGACACGCTGATTTATATTAATTCGTTTTATCTGAGACAACTAACTTTATCTGGTCTAGTCAGTTTCACAAACACAGTCACCACATTCGTTTACTATGCAGGCATTTTAAGCCATTAACTGTTTTTCATCAACACCACTTCCAAAACTCAAACAAAAGTAATACTCTCATGTTGATTGTTCTTTTATGCTTTCTAAAATAAACTTTCTATCTCCTCATGGCAACTCAGGTTCTCTCCACTGCACAAATTTGGAACAAATTGCTTCAGAGCTACTTATCCTTCTGAAATGCATCCCAAATATGGTCCAAGGATTTCGGTAAGAGGTATTCATCATTGTGACAGTCACTAATCCACAAATATGTTCAACAATTCCAGAAAATATAACAAAGGTTTGCTGCCAAATTGCTCAAAAATACTGACAGAAAGTCAGCAGTGGCAGCACCCCCTGAGACAATTCCTGCTAGGTGAGCCAACAAGTTGCAATATTGCAAACTATCAATATAGCTTATAAGTTTTATTACTGTAAGAGAACAAGAACACTAAAACAAACACAAACCCTCTGCGGGAATCTTGAATACATGTTGACTGTGTTGGACACTTATGAAATATTTTCTTGTCAAAGGAATCTTTGAATAACGTGCAATTAATTTAACTTGTAGAAACAATGAGCAGGAGGACATCATCACAGCTTGTGTAGTGGAACTGATGAAAGAACCCCTCTTCTTCTCACAAATTTGTCTCTCACTGATGGCTGTCACACACTCGATAATAAACCTGTGGATCCCATGTAGGTGCACACAGTGATGCAGATACATGCACATACATAGACAGGAAAACATAGGGACAGGAAGACACCAAGAATGCAGTAAAGAGGACAGAGTCTTGGTTATGGTGTCAGAGTTGATGCAAGCCCATTGTTTCTTTATTCCCACACTGACTGAAGGGGCACAGGTGAAAAGCATAATGCATTGTTATCTTATATAATAATAATCAGAGAAAGAGGTACAGCATGCTACTGTCATAAATTTGCATGTTTGTCTATAACCGAGCAAATGCTGAGAAAAAGATTCACAAAATTGATTATAAATTACTAAGGGTACACTGCTCTTGCCCTGACCAACCAACATTTACATTGCTTCAGCCTTATAAACACTTATCCATCCATACCCTTGGTATGCAGCTGGAGTTGGAGGAATACCATGGCCTGAAAACCAAGGAAAAAAAGAGATGGCCCACATGGTCCATCTTCATCACAAACAACCATCAAGAGGCAGGTCAGTGAGTCAGGTCAGGGTTCAGACTCTTTATACACAAACATTCACAAGGTTTTGTAATGCAGCCCGTTCTGACTGTAATTTGTCAGTGGGTGTACTGTTATATCATTTTCGACTGAGCATACGGAAGCCATTCTATGCTCATTTGAAATTAAAGTAATCCATTTATCTGCATTACGGCTCATATCCTGATCCCTCAAATGAACTTTACGCAGGAAATAACACAGGCTGCTTGTGAGCCTTGAGACTGTCAGCGAAAGGTAGGCTGTAGAATAAAATACCAGCTTTAGAACAGAGTGCATCTCAGCAAAGATGATTAAATGAAACCTCTGTGAACTTTTAAATGGCATACAGTTAAGTTGCTTCATTGACTGAAAACAGCATATTTCAGTAACAGCTAACAACTTTAATCTTTAAACACCAAACAGGACAGTAAAAGCTGAAACAACATCTACAATTATGAGTGCCCTTAAAGGATTAGTCATTTATACTTACAGCAACACATTTTTGCTTACAGGGCTTGAATTATGCAAATAAGAATTTGGAAATAACACACTGGGTGGCAATTGGTTAAGAGCTTGTCATCAAAAGCTCTCAAAGAATCAAAACAGTAGCTAATGTGCACTCGCTTTCTACTGCTGGGAAAACCATTCCCGCTTTGAAGCCTCTCTAAGCTGGCAATGTAATGGAGTTTTCAATTGACATCTTCCATCTCTTCCACCAGTCCACCATAATCTGTTGTTGCCATAAACGGCATTTGAGCTGGTTGTTGAATGGGGCGGAGAAGTGAGACGGGTTTAATAGATGGGTTATTATTTGGCAACATATGCCTCAAACACCAATTTTAGAGATGATTACTCACTGTGCCTCAGAATAATGGACAATATGACAGGGTCTCTGTGTGTATATATGTGTGTGTGTGAGCATTGTGTAAAGACTGCCTCATCTAAAGCTGTAATATAACAGCTATTTAATCGTAGCTTAAATATAGTAATACCAGCCCATTGGTATAGTTTGTTCCTCAGTGCTCTATGAGGTCAGAAACAAGGGTGAGGCTACCCTCTTTAAATATTTGGTTTTAAGGGTGTAATGGACCTAATGCACTACTAAATGATATAACTATGGAATTATTTTTGTGTATAATTTCTAGTAATATAGTAATAGTGTGTGGTGGGACATTGTTAGCACAGAAAAAGATTTTTTGCAGGCACCTACATTATGTTTTGTAGAATGTAATGATTATCACTTAAGGAATTACTTAATTTGTGCAAACACAAATCTTTTCTGTGTTCATATTATCCACATAAGTGCACAATAATAACCTCTTTCACTCAGTTTGCCCTCTATTAACATCCCTGCTATGTGTGCGCTCAAGTTTACTCTAAATGACTCATCCTTCTCTTAAAAACCTAAGGTTCGCACAGAAAATGTTGTGTGAACAACAATACCAAAATGCACAACACTACCGCCTCTCTCTATGAAATACAGTTTGTAAATCAGTCTGTATTTTATTATTTTCGTAATTAGCTAACTTATGCCAGAAAAGCAGTAGCTATATAAGCTAGCTGGGTAACTTGGTTAGATTTAGACACAAATACTTACTAGGGAAGTAATACTTCACTTTCCTTGCTGAGAGACACATGAGAAGATTGATACCACCCTCACTTCTGCAGGGGAGTCACTAATAACATGTTATATCTTGTTAGTTTAATTTGTAAAATAAACAATATAAAAATACCATTGTGGCCAACCAAGAAATAGTCCAGCACATCACCCCATGTAAAACAGCAATTTACATTTTTACAGTTCGGATTTTAAACCATGACATGTAAAGTGTTAATAGTGAGCTTTAGATGGTAGGAGGATTTTGTTCCATTTGAATAGAGGCAGGCTAGCTGTTTACCCCTGTTTCCAGTCTTTATGCTAAGTTAACTTAACCAACTTCTGGCTCTAGCTGCATATTTACGGTATAGATATGAGAGTGAATAATCTCATCTAACTCTCGACATCAAAGCACTATTTCCCAATATGTTAAAGTATTCCTTTAAGTTAGTGATGTGTTGGTCTCTCAGTTCCATGAGCTGATGAACGATGGCACAATACCTGCTCGGTCTGAGAGCCAGCTCCCTTCAAAGAGCTGCAATTCTCATCACTACTTTAAGTAATCCTGTGAAAGATTGCATTTATGATTAATAGACACCAACTTTGACTATAAGTAGGAAACTGAATGTACACCCTACCATCTACCCTGTTTGACGCTGTAACAATGTCACGGTACTTCTGCCATTCAAGGTAAAAATGGCTCTTTTTAGAAATCAAGAGATTTTTAAAAAACCCGATCGGATTTGAGTTGTTAATCCTGAAGGCTCTAACAGAGTTAAAATAGTTTTCTGAATGACAAAGAGAGACAGAGAAGGATGGAAGACAAGCAGAGTCATATGATGACTCTCACACTAGAACATGGGAATAGTGTGTGTTTTGTTTGGGCAGGAGGAGATTAGGCAAGACTGAGTCTCCTTAGAGAGAGAGACAGAGCCCGTTAAGAGGAGGAGGAGAGAGAGAGAGAGAGAGAGAGAGAGAGAGAATGGGAGCACTTTGCACAGCTCTGTTCACCATGAATACGCCTACATAATCCTGTTATTCTGAGGAGGAGTCACATACGAGCACTTTCCTTTCCAACACTGTCCTTAACTGAATAAATGACAGCATTGTGTTGAAATGCCTAAAATTTACCTGACCTTTAGTGGTTTTGGTCTCCTCTCATCTTAGGCTGACATCCATTTTAGCACACCTGGAATTATTTGAATTACTGAAGGTGCCCTTCATTGATCTTTCTTGACCCTTAAGCAGACTCAAATATTAATACATCACCTGCAGGCTGACATCAGTCAAGCGCTCCTCTGGTGTTTCATGGGTTCTTCCCTTTTACCGCCATTTCCTGCATTTCACTCCTCTGCCCTCTGCTTGACAGCCTTTTACAGACACAGACTCTCAGGAGGACAAGCCTTGCTCTTTGTCTGCAGTCACTGTGGACACATTCTGACACACTTACTCTCTCTCACACACATACACACTCTTACTTCAGTCCTTGTGTTCAGTGTTTGGAAATCTTTCATCTCTACACAAAGCTCTTTCGCTGCTTCAGGATCTCCCACAAGCACTTAAAACTTCACCTCGGGAGGTGAGATTTAGAGTCTACCTCTGTCCTGAAACCCTAGGTGCCCATGGGGAGACAGCCACCCATATTCACATGGGCACATGTCCCCCGCCCCACCACACACACACACACACACACACACACTTGTACAGTAAGTCCTGTACTCTCTTTGAAACAGCAGTGAGAGGTTCACAACAGTCATTGCTGCCACCTCAGATTATTTCCACACACATTCAGGTTGACTGCATACATGTAGGACAGGCCATTGGTCACTCACTTTTTCCATGTGTGTTTGGGGAAACACGTAGGAAACTACAGAAGCAGGCTTAAACACAACACTTAGATACCTGGAGGGATATATTTTGTCCGTGGCATTGCTGCTCTCATATTCATTCTCTCATACTAAACAACTGTTTCTCTACCAGCGGACTGTGACCTAGAGCTGAGTCTCTTAAACATGTATATAGCAATTTGCCTGCTTGGAGTGGCGGTGAGACCTAACTGTTGAGACTCCACATCTGTCTGTTATAAACCTAAAACTGCATTAATCAATATTCTTTTTTATGAACACTGAATCAAGTGATTGTGTGAGGATTATGTCCAATCGACTGCTTGAGATGACAAACCCACAGAGGATTATTCTATGCTGCAGCTCTATAAAGCTGTAGAGCCACTTTAAGCCCATAGGTTTGATGTTGTTTTGTTCAGGAAAAAAGGTTCAACTAACCCCACTGCACACTACTTGCCCACCACCAAACGACACACAAAGTTAGTGACTAGCTGGTGAAAGTCATCTAGCAAGGTAATGACCTACACATTTTTCTCTGGAGTTTGGTGGAGACAAAAACAGAGATAAAAAGTTAGTAAATTACTTGATTTACATTCATAAGGTTACCAGAAACTAGGGCTGGGTGATATGGCCAAAAATGTGATCACGATAAAAAAATCATTAATTATCACAATAAATGTCAAATCATTATTTCTTTCACGTTTTTTTCTCCTGAGTGATAGTTGAAGATACCAGATGGTTAATTGTGGTTTTATACTATTATTTATGGTCACAACATGACAAACAACAAACAGTGGATCACTTAACAAATCAGAGGTAGAACATTTAAAACTATTCTGATAAAATCTTTTTTTCAACAAATATGCATGATTAAAACTCTTAACAGAAAAATTACATGCTTTTCATTTGTGATTCAAATGAATTAAATCAAACATTTATTGAGCATTTATTACACTGCTAATGAGGAAAATTATATTGCGATAATTATCATTATTGTTTATTTGCCCAGCCCTACCAGACACAAAACTGCTTGGTAACACTTTTTAAGGTAATATACTGTTAAAACTGTTAGCTTGTTTTTCTATGTTTCTTTATGCCCCTTAAAGGCAGGGTAGGCAAGTTGCTTTTAAAACACTTTTTTCATATTTGTTGAAACTGTCTTTATATACCAATGCATATTAAAAAGTTAGGTGCACTGAAAAAGAGAGAATAAAAATCGGCTGTCTGTAGTCCTCTCAGGACTGCAGTAAACACAGCCACTCGTTCCATTTGGACCGAATGCAATGATTGGCTGGCTGACTGTCACTCTACCTCGCTGCCATGGCTACCAGCCCTGCTGCTATAGGAGCTGCTCACATGCGCGCACCTGGTCAGCTCGCTCAGACCTGACGAGCGAAGCGGTCAGACCGGAGGTGATATCTGCGTGGCTTTTCAACGATAGTGACAACTGAGGAACACCTAGGGGCTGACACAGCGTGGTGGCTTTATTTCTGCTGGGCAGGTAATCTGGCTTTTATCATTTTGATGGTAATTTGTTACTTTCATCGCTAGCAAACGTAGCTACCTACGCATAGAGCTAACAGTAGCTACCTACTTAGCATACAGCTAACTGTTGCTACCAGTGCAGACTGGTGTAGGAGCCAGAGCAGAGACGATCAATTATATCTAGCTGTAGGTGAGCTGGAAAACAGCAGCACGAGCTGTGTTTTCTGTCACTAACATTAGGTAAGACAATGTAAGTGTAGACTGCGCTGGTTTAGTTATTCACCAGCTAGGTTTATTGTTATACTATGTTTACACCTAACTTTAGTTATCTTTACCTTGTATCTAATCTGTTAGTGTGATTATCTTGTGTCTGCAGTTGATGTTTGACTGTATGTTACTTTTACAAATGTGGTGATGTGTGTTTGTAGTTATGAGAAAGACATTTCAATGTTAGTATACATAAACAATGATAGCTAAAGGTCCCTAAGTATCTGTTTTTCTGGTATATAAGCTACCTATAATATAGTTTTATGTTGTTCATAGCTACTGTGTGAAAACCTTTTACATTCATTGGTGCTGTTATGCCATTACTTATTTTACCAGTAAACAAGTGAATGTTTTATTTCTACTGTGCCCTCAGGTCACCTGCAGGTTTGAGTCTTTCATAGCCCTGTACTTCTCACCAGTACACTGATCGGACCATGCTGGTTGGCCTGGATTACAACTACCATGTCCACAGTCCAGCCAGGAGAAAAGCTGAGTATGTTGCATAATGAGTACTCCTATGTATTTTACTCAATACATTTATAAGGGATGAGTCAAAAAATATTAAACAGTATGAGGAATACAGATAGATGGTGCTTATTTATTGTTGTGATTGCATTTTATGTGGAAATGCTAACTGCTGTATAAGAGGATAATGTCAGGTATTACAAACTTTTCACTAAGCTGATCCTCCTTTCTGTATTATCAGGTACAGCAAGGTATACAACAAAAAGTCCAGGAAGTGGAGATTGTACTCATTGAAGATCAGCCATGTGTGGTGCATGGAAACACTGTAGTCTGGATGTTGTCCACAGTCCTCAGATCAGATTCTGGTCTGTAAAGGAATATATAGTTGTTAGAACTCCAAATGGGAAAGATCTGTGTAATTGGAAAGAACATTCCTAAACATGATCAGATATTTTAATTGAACAGGGCTTTGTTGTTATCTAACAGGACTTCTGTGTCTACATTACACACCAGGTCAATGTACATAACACAGATGAGCCAATGGCTGAAGTAGAGCTGCAGTTAGTTGTTGTAATCAGTAAACAATAATACAAAAGTAATAACAATAGTGATCGATTACATACCACTTTATTTTTGACACCCAAAGGGCTTAGGGGGAAACAACAGAGACAACTTTGAGACAAGTACACTGGAAGACAATAGACTAATATTAAAATATATATACCTGTTCATATGCCGTTGTTGGAGTGTGAAGCTCGTCGAAGGTATGTGCTGCTCGGCTTGCACCTCGTCCTCTCCGTCCTGCCTCTTCTTCCTTGGACCGTGGCTGCCCTCCCTCCTCTGCTTCGCCTCGACCCCGGGCCGGTCTTGGTCCTGTGCTTGGCTCTGGATTGCAGTCATCAGAGACAATAATGCTGTCACTGTGGAAGCTCTAACATGTAAAACAATGTACATGTTATGAGTCTAACACGAAATTCACGTTGGTGTAGTAACTGATGGAAACGGAAAAAATCAGCCTGTTTTTAGCTTTGCCCAATGTTACCGCAGCTGTTAGCACAGTAACCTGTTGCTAACAGTTAGCTAGCTAACTCGTTACTGAATCAAAGCCAGTCTTTTTAAACCTATCCAATATTAACATGCTAGCTTGATAGTGAGTACTAACAACCAGGTTAATTGTTTATTTTCATAACGATAAAGTTAAATGTTTTCTTACCCCTGATGTGAGCTGCTGCATTGCGCTGCTCTCCGCTTGTCATACTGTGCTCATCCTCCAGCAGAGTTGGCAACGCACGTTCACGTGTTTTGGGGGCGTGGCTTTTAAGGAGCCCAGAAGGGAGGGGGTGGGAGTTTCTCTGTTGGATACTTTCAAAAATCCAGCAGTTTCTTTCTAGTTTGTCAAACTTACCTACCCTGCCTTTAATAGCCAAAATTCAGTCAACGTAGCTTCAATTTGCTGAAACCACCCAGCTCGAATTTACATATTCTTGAGCTAGACCTGAAACTGAAAAAGGACAAAAAAGGTGTCCTGGGAATACTTTACCTTAGATTCTTTGATCTTTACAGCGATGACCTGTTTCCTCTGGCGGATGATCTCCACTAGCTCATCACACTCCTCCACCAGCTTGGCTTCATGCATGGCTGTGTTCACCTGGAGAGAGAAGCAGAAGGACACGTGAACATGACTGGGAGAACCCACTATACGGGTGTCCTAAGTCAAGCCAAAATAGGCTTGCTTACACACGCACTTAATCTTGCACACGCACTCACATTTGCACAACCACACCAACTTGGCCTCATGTTCCATTTAATTTTGTCTTTGCGAACAAAAAAACAACATGTGCCAGTTTTTCTTCCTCTCTGTTCGTAGGGAGCATTGTAAGATTTCTGGATTGACAGCCATGGCGATTCATATCATCACTTACAGAGGACGTCATTTGTTTTTCCATTTCATTCTGCACACAAGGAAAAGCCGCCTCCAACAAGGTGTGCACCCAGATTAGAAACTTGTGATGAACTGAGATAAAGGATTTATCTTTAATTATGTCACAGGAAAGACCATAAATCATTTTAAATTACAAAGCAAATGTATTGATACTAGGGGGAAAAAAAATTGGAATTCAATTACATTAGATACACTGACAGGTCCATAGTCACCCATTTAATGGGCATTGTAAGTGGTGAGAAATTTTTTTATTTTAGTAAATTTGCAATTTTTTCTAAAATGTTCTGTTCCTTGCTCGAGGGAAAGTCTGTCACAGCTCATAAAAATGGATACATTGCTGCTGGATTTAAACCGGCTCCTGTTCTTGTACTTTGCACTAATATTACACAGGAAACCCCATATTGTGATGAGAAAAGGCTGCATGGACTTCACAGAGTTGCACCTTTTTCAAAATCATGTTTATTTCACTCACTGTGAGCAAGAACTAGGTTGAGGATAGTTTGAATATTCATCTCTTCATTAAAAAAGCTCCTCAAAGGGCCTGTGTAGACACTCATTAATTCAATGACAGAATTTGCTTGCACCATGCCAAATGTAATAGATTTTATGATTATTTTAGGACCAAAGTTGCCAAGGCAACTCATCACCAGTTCACTATCTCAGGCCAACACTAAATGAACAGCCAGCTTCAAACTTATGTGGGTAGGTGTTACTCCAACACAATGGGTGTTTGTTGAATTTACATACTGAGCCACTACCGACAGGTTTGCTTACACCAAAAGCTTCTGAATCAGCTATGGCAGAGGTTAAAATAAGAACAAGTTCAACTTCACTGCTGAGAGAACTTTCACTCATCACTATGAGGATTATTTTATAGATTGATGTTTGACCACTGAGTTTCATCAGAAAATTTAATCTAAAGGTCTGAAAGAGGCAAAACTTCACTGAGTGTTATGATTGGCCACCACAAGTTGCACAGACAGAAACTTTATCACTGCTTTATCTGCTCCTAGATTATTAGGATTTTCCATTCAAACTGTTTGCACATTATGTTGCTGTGCACTGATGTAAGGGTATAAAAGGTTACCATGTATTAGTGCTGTAGTCAAAAATGCCCAAATCGAGACCAAGACCAGAGTTTATTGAGACAGAGACAAGACCAAGACTTTTAGGGGCTGAGACCAAGTCGAGACTGAGACCGAGGGAGGGCGAGACTCAAGACAATGACCAGTTCCCCACATTACATGACACACAATAAAATGTGGAATGAGATCATAGGTACTTCTCAAATTGATCAGAAAGATCCACATTCCCATTAAAACACCCACATACAAACACTAAGAGCTGAAATCAACTTAAGCATCTTTATTCAACATTCCGTTTCCATGTTTATCATCACAGGGAGGGGGGACAGGCGCTAATGTTAACAACACTTAATTAGCGTTACTGGCTGCATTTGAAGCAATAAGTTTTACATCCAATAAACGTTAGGATAACCAATAAATCAGACAATGCAAAAGCAATTTATTAATATTCCCAAAGTTATGGTCTTGACTGGTCTTGAAATAAAATCCTGAGTCCTCAATGTTTGAAACCGAGACAAGGCCGAGTACAAATGCGATCGAGTCCGAGATGTGACCATCAAAAAGTGGTCTTAAGACCGGTCTCGAGTACTACAACACTAACATGTACCATCTAAGCTAGTTGTACTCACACAGAGTTGTACTGTGAGTGCAAATCTTCCACAGTGATGACAGGAGTCACAATTACTTTTGTCTGCGAGAGCCAATTCAGACCATCAGAGAAATAATAGATTTACTCCAGAATAGAGAGAAAACAACCCAAAATGATGACTGTGGGAAGCTTTCACTCAAACTGGCAGCTGAGTAATGCTGAGCTGGCAACCCTCATACAGTAATACATTGAATGTATAGTGAGGAAAGACCCAAACGCTTCTCTGAGTGGGTGAGTCAATCTTTTTATGATTTTTTTTAGAAAATGATGAACAACAATAGACGTCAACAAAGAAAAGCCAATTGTAAGAACATATACAAGTATAGCCATGTAAATACATGTAAATGGGTAAATAAAAGTGGCAATACTTTGATGTAAATGCATACATGATACACTAAATAAGAGAGAATATGAAATTACAGAATAATTACTACAGAATAAACCAAAGGTGTGACATTCAATAAATAGTATGGCACAATGTCAAAGTTGTATTGGCCTTAAGACAATCCAACCCTATTAATCCCTATTCATATAAGCAAGATATCAATCCCACTTCCGGAGATATAGTTCCACCTTATTGAGTAACCTGAATGATAGATTTTCTCATGCACCTAGTTCCCCCATCTGGATGTACCACAAAGATGCTGTAGGCACGGACAAGGCTTTCCAGTTCACAACAATCAGCTTCTGTCCCAGCATGACAGTGGTTTGAACTCCATCTGCCTCAGGGTGAGTTAAATTATCTAACACCATGGGGTCTCCCAAAATGTACAAGGCTGGAGTGAAAGAGACATCTTTGCCAACAATTATTTGAATGTAGCCATGGATAACTAACCAAAACTCCTGTACCTTTGGACAGCTCCACAGCATGTGAACTAGAGTACCATAATTTTCATTGCACCCCCAGCATCCCGCCGCACTACTTGGAAGGTGTCTGTGACGGCCCCTCTGCAGGGTTCATACTGCTGTTGATGTGCTTTCTGTCTCCAGGGCTGCAGACCTGATTGGCAGAGTAATCAGCAGCATGGGACACACCTGGGCCCAGTGTGCCCCATGCATATAAGCCAGAGCAGCATTTACTCTTGGCTGGACCGCCTCATCCCATTGCTTCCTTTGTTGTATTTGGTTTCTTGTCTTTGTTTTTACAGCACAACATCCATGCAGTACATTTTTACTCACTACACTACTGACTTTACAGATTCTTCCTACTCATTTAGTTTAATAAATCACTTTGTGTTTTAATTTACCCGTGTGTCTCCAGTTTTTGTTACAGTCCATGAGCCAGGCTGTGACATGTCCAATAAACTTTAATATTTTTAATTTAATTAATCTTGTTTTCAATTACCTGTACATTTTTTTTTTATATCTGAGAATTAAGTTTCAATCCCCCTTAGTGAAATCAACAATGAGGTCAGCTTCCCATGTCAATCTGAGGGACGACCTCCATCCATCCATCCATCTTCATCCGCTTATCCGGGATCGGGTCGCGGGGAGGGACGACCTATCGCCATCAAAATAAATAAAAATGCTTGGAATTCACCACCAGATGTCCACACAAGGGGGAGCCACAGAGGTCGAGCCATAGGTCTGTATCAGCAGACGCCTCAGCTAAAGGTATTTCCAAAACTGATTCTTGGAATATCACATTGCTGTTTTAGATTTTCAAACAATCTCAATGTTTCCTTTTCGTGAAGGTCACCTTGATCGGAGCTCTCAATCTTTAAGTGAGCCGAAGATTACATTCAAATCAAAGCTCACCTATTGTGACAATAAATTCAGAAGAATTTACACTTCACACACTTAATTTCCTTTTGATGTAGTTCCCCAACTATAAATTTTACAGGGTTGTGACATTTGCAGACCGTCAAAACTACTTACACCAACAGCCAAGTTCCACTCATCACTTCACAAAGCTCATTACAACACGGCGATCCACTTAAGCCTCATTAAACACACACACACACACACACACACACACACACACACACACTTATACTTAATTCTGGAAAGAACCATCTTATGACTGCAGGTTAGCAATTAAGCAGGATAAATGCAGCAGCCCTAGATCACTGTGAATTACAACGTCTACTCTGCAGCTTAGAGTTACGGAAACAATCTTCATCTTCATCCTATTCCTCTTTCACATCACTCAAAACCACCACCTCCTCCTCCTCCTTGTCTGCCAGCTCCTGACATTACTATCCACTCCTTGCTACACAAACACTATCACCTAGTGTGCATCTCCCTGTTCATCAGGCTCCTCTGCAGGTGAACATGAACAACACAGTGCCAACTCCAAGTTAAAAAAGGTTGTGAAATTGTGATCACTGAAAAAGGACAGAAGGAAAGAAAGCTACAAAAAAGCAAATTTAAGATGCCAGAAAGTTTAATAAAGGGTTCTTATTGTAACAATCCCTGAAGAATAATAGCTTATAACAATAAGATCTGTCATAGCTTATTCATCCATCCTGCTGATGCATAACTATTCTCACTCAGCTGCACGTTCATTATGCGTGGTAATGCAGCTGACATTTAAGTTCACCACATTCACATAACATCCCCTCATTATCTCATGAGGCAAATAAAATAAATTAAAACAAAAAATATCACATCAGCCATAATTACACTCTATTAAGCAATAAGATGAAACGCGGACATTATTAGCAACTGAACATAGTATTTAAAAAGCTAATAATCTAGAATATTATAATGAAAATGTACACAACATAGTGCAAACTGACAGCACAATCATTAAATCATAAAAAGCCGAAATGAGGAAGAATAAATTTACCACATCTTCCACCTCAGGTTTTCTTATAGAAGCATTATATTGAGCACATATGCTCCCGGACATCATTAGGTTGAGTTCATCTCCCACATTATGTCAAGATTAAATCTATTCGCCTATATTTTTATACAGTGGAAATGAGCATGTATTACTTACAAGTCAAAATTAAATAAAATGAGCTATG